CTCCGGGCAAATGAGAAAGGAGAGATTCTCTGCATTACAAAATAATAATAAACAGCAAGGGCGATAGTGAAACTAAGTGTTTGTGCCTTTAGTTTCTACTTTTCTGTACCCTTTGATGTTATTATTATGTTTCTTTTCTGTGAAGCTTTGTGCAGAAAGTTTTCTGGTTAGTTTTTTTTTTGTGTGTGAGAAGAAGGCATGTCTTCAGTTGTATTTTCTTTTTTCTTTTTTTTTGGTATCTCTGTTATAGTGTATAAAAATAATTATAAATAGAAAACTCACTAGGTTTTCTGCTTTCTAAAGTGTCAGATAGAAAAGCTATCTCACCACTATCCCTTTCTCTTACTTCTTTTTTTCTCTGTTCAGACTTAGGTCATACCTAATCTCAGCTTCACTTTTATTTTTTAAAAGAAATGCTTTGATACAGTATTGTCAGCATTATGCTTATTTAAATATCATTATGATTAGTAATATTATTTCCCTTTCTCATAATTCTCTATTACTGCAAAGAGCACATTTTTCAGTAAATGTACTAGTACTTTCTCTCTCTGTCTTTCGGTTTCTCTTATTGCTTCCCCACCAAGGGCTGCTACATTTGGCTTATATATTTTCCTTTTCCCCTCCTAAGAAATAAAGAATTTTGGAGAGGAAGTATCCTTCAGTTTCTTTATTTTTTATTTTTTACAAAAAAAGGACTTAGAAATCATCATCATCCTTCTTCAAGACATCGGTCTGCAAAGGAAATCTCCTTTGTTTCCATTATTTATATGCTGTCAAGTTTTGAAGTGGTGAGTTTCAGGTCTTTTTATGAAATTTCGCTCAAACTGCAGTCTTCCTGTTTCTAGATAGTGTTTTGCTTCTTTGTCTCTTTAAAAGGTCACAGTGAAAGCTTGGCCTGGATTATCACAGCCATATGGAATGGATAAGAACAGAGCCTCTCTTAAATGTGATTAAGGGGTTTTATCAGAGAAAGGAGGAGGGGATAAAGAGAAAGGGGAGGGAGCTAAGTCTCAAAGTATTGAAGATACAGTAGTCACTTCTACTTGCAGAACCATATCTCTAACAACTGAATTCCAATCACAAAATATTTAGAATGTCATCTTCCTTTAATAATAGTGTACATATGCAGTGGTATACTTTCTTCTAAAAACTTATGGTTGAACATGAAACCAGCAGAAATCTTCTCCCTGTCATCTCTAAAGATGATAATTAACTTCATGGAGCTGTCACGGGCAATTCATGTTGAGTATACCTCATTGCAATTTCAGATGGAGGGAAGCTTTGTTGAACTTTAGCCTTGAATGCAAGAGTTTAAATTAGTAAATTAAGTGTTTTACCTGCACATACATTTGCTTTGCATTATACATCTTTTTGCAAGATGATTGAGCTAAACAATGTAGAGAAGGTGGATATGACCAATTCAGTGTTTTTTGTCACTATACGGTATGTAAAATGAATTGTTAGCTTGTTACCTTTGTTCATTGGTTATGACCTGAGAGATATATGTGTTAACTATTTAAACAAAATTTTGGTATTTAAGTTGTAAAAAGTGGCAGTAGTCTTCCAGTTCAAGATATTTTTGGTCCCTCAACTAATTTCAAATGAATGAAAGAAAAGCGTGGGTGTTAGACATGTTTTGATGAAGTACTACCAAGGACCCAGTAGATGTTGGTGATTTAGATATGCAGTTTTGGGTTAAATAGCAGTTAATGTAATGAAAAAGAATAATCTTGATTAAAAAAGTGATTAAAGTAGGCATATTTATTGTTAATGAGACTCATAACCAAAAACAGATGGGACCACAATCAATGGTAAACCTTTGGTTCTCAGCATGTCACCCTAGAGTGCAAGGATAAATAACCGTTATATTCTAAACTTTATAGTTATTCAATTGGCATTCTTAAGGATGCAGCTAACCCTTAAGATTAACAGTTTTTTTTTCTATAATGAAAGACAAAGCAGATATGATTAAGTAAGGAACAAATTTGCAGTGGGAATATACAGCAGTATCACTAAAATGAAAATCTTATCAGAGCTGAAAAAAGGGAGATATATTTACTGTATCTTAAAACATTATTTGTTAATGGATTAATGTTTTTTCTCCTATGTAATCCTCACCCGCAGTGATAGTGTTCATACTTAATTATGTAAGTACTGCTTCATAAATGACTGGTCACCTGTTCCTAGTGTTCATACTGCATATATAATAGAGCAGGTAGTGTGATTAAGTCTTAGAAAGGGTAGCAATCCCTCTATTGTAAAGCAAATTCTATTCATAATAAGCATATAAACAATTCTTTGTATAATTTTCAATAATCAAAAGCACTCTTGTGTTTTTGTATTATAGTAGTTAATGGTTACTGTGAATGTGTTGTACTACAAAAACAATCATAGTAAAAAAAATTACAGAATTTGAAAGCAATATTGAATGATAGTAGTTAGGCTAACAGTTTTTTGTTTAGCTTGATATTACAAATTTATCAGTTTTTCAAAAGTTAATCAAAAGGTTTAATAGGTTTGAAGATTTTCAACTTGATACCAAAGAAAGTTATGAGGGTTTAAAGAGGCTTCCATATATGACATTTATATGTTGACTTAGGTGACCTAAAATCTCACATGTTATGGAAAAATAAGTGTTTAATCTTATCTGACACTGAACTCCCTTTAATGATAGAACAATTCTTTTTACAAATTCCAAGTTAGTATGTAAGACTATTAAAAGAGGCACATAAAGGAAATCTCATATTCCTAGTTTAATCTATTGAATGCCTAGCTAAATTTTTAATCCCTTTATTTCCTGAGAAGTTAAACAATCCAAGATTTATATTTATTGAACTGAAGTATTTTGGTAATTTGAGGAAATAGTACTAAGCTCATAATCTTAGAACTTGTACATAAGAAATTTGTAGCAATGGGTATATTACTCTGTGAATGCTACTAAATATACATGCAACTCTCACTAATGATTTCTAAGATACAAAGCCCATATATACATGTATATAATGGGCTAAAAAAAGCATTGAAATGTTCTGATAACTTTGACAGTTAAGCAACTTTCCTACAAATACATTTTTATTTAAGAAACATTTAACATTATGTGAACATGCTATACAGATGTATTATGTACATGTGTAAAGCTGCCTACATAAAATTACGCACGCGTATACAACACATATATATTTTTTTTAAATCATGGCAGGTGATCTTTAGAGGCGGGACTGAGTATGGATCATTTGAACGAGACAACTCAGGGGAAAGAACATTCAGAAATGTCTAACAATGTAAGCGATCCGAAGGGTCCACCAGCCAAAATTGCCCGCTTGGAACAGAATGGGAGCCCATTAGGAAGAGGAAGACTTGGAAGTACAGGAACTAAAATGCAAGGAGTGCCTTTAAAACACTCTGGACACCTGATGAAAACACAAACTAGAAAAGGTAACACTATGATTCTCAATATGAAATAATAATTTTTAAATAATATAAAATGTCTTAGAAGAAACCTACTTTCAAGTTTGTGTATAATTTGTACTTCACAATGACATTTTTATTCTACAAATATCACATTCTTAAATCTAATGGAAATGGTACTTGGAAGACTTAACTGTATGCCTGGGTGGAGCATCTTGTTTTTCAGGGTGGAGTTTTTTTAATAGGAAAAAAACTCTCATACTTTCAGAATATTTTTCTCATTGAAAACAACACTACTAATCAAGATAAAGTCTTGCTATCAACTCATTTTGTAGGCATCTGTGTGTGTATTGAGCAAAACACTTTTATAGCATGTGAATGAGTAAGAAGGTTCTTGAAATAGCCAGATTTCTACTTCTATCTGCTCTTGACAAAAATCCAAAATTGGAAGGTCAACATCTCTGAAGCATTTGCTAGTTGGCTTCAAGAAAGTAATATAAAGCTTTTTTGGTGTTCTGTGGAAAACTCCTTTATGATGACAATTTTTCGCACTTTATTTCCTTAAGTACAATTCATTACTGAGCAATGAACAACTTGGGTATCATATTGTTCAGTGACTGGTTTGCTGTAATTAGACATTCTCACAAGAAAAAATGCTTTTAGAGCCAGTGACTGATGCGGTATGTGTGCGTCCATGGCTGTTGTTTGTGTTATGGTTCTGTTGAAGTAAAATTAATAGTATACATGATCTTTTTGGATCATAAACAGCACCCATGGTAATTTAATCAAAATATGCTATATGTAATTTCAAATTCATTTTAATACTCCTTTCCTCAGTATAATTGCTGCATGTTTCTAAGTCAGATTTCTTGCATTTACTAAACCAAGACAATTAAACACACAAAGTTAGAAGGCACTGGCTTCCATTCTGATGCATAACATTTATCATACAATCATTTACTTTTTCCTTGGATTGGCGAAAACAAAGAATATATTGATCTTAGAATGAACAGACACAGCAATCTGTATTGTTTAGATTTGTATCTATTAAAAATGGAAAAACAGCACTTCAGCAAATTCTTTGGCCTCTGCTCATGATTACCCTATTTATTGATTGTTTGCCAAGAATGTATGCATCTTAAGAAAGCCAAGGGTAAGGCATTAAAAATATAATTTATTGCTGCTTTTTAAACAGAGTGCATTAATATTGTACTTTGAAGCGCTGGGGCTATGTAAAAAAGACTTTCTGACGCCTGTAAACATATAAGTTCCATAAATTCCTAAATAGGAGATTTCAGCTGTGTCTGGTATTATGTGATATTTGCACAGCAAACTTTTAATGCCAGGACAGTTTTAGACAGGGATTCAACAGACTACTCTGCTCCTTACAGCAGACACTCTGTTTACATAGACTCATAAACCTTCAGCAAATCCTCTGACATTGCTTTCAGGTTTAAATCATACTATATTTTTAGCATTGAACACTGACCAGTACTTTCCCCTTTAATACTAGGAGGTTATAAAGTTGCTGCACTGTCTTGCTAAGTACTTGAGTGATCAACAGCTTGGCAAGCTACAAGAATCAAGAAAGCTTTGCCATTACAACATATTTAAGTATTGCATACTTATCCTAGTGGGGACAGGTTTTCATTTTAGTTGAGACATATTTCTCTTTTTTTTTTCTGCTTTTTAGGATTGCATTTTTCTTTTGTCTTGAGTCAGTATAAGAAAAGGATAATGCAACCAGATACAATATTGTATTTCTGAAGTATGTTGTATGAAGTATGAAGTGAATTGGTGAATATTCTGCAGTTAGGCTTCTAATAATAAGTTAAATCCCTAGCCTCCTTGTTCTGTTCTGGTTGTGATAGGTGAGAGCTTATTAAACCTCTGAAAAGAAATAAAGGAATAACTTACCAATTTATATTGTGACATTTGTCTGGTGATCTTTTTCTGATATTGCTGTAAGATGTAAAATATTGGCAAGTGTTTAGGCTTGCATTTCATGCTGAGTTTGTTTAACAAACTAGAGAATTTGAACAGTTTTGCAAACAAGCATAGAAAGGTTGGTTTGCAAGAGACTGACTACATATGTAGACTTAATTGTGTTTTTCATTGTCCTCTCCTACAATACAAATGAAGGAAGGAATACATCAGTGAATCGCGTTGACAGGTTGGTAGGTGTTATCTGCCTTTATAGGATTAGATGACTTCCACAAATGTAGAGCACAGTGATTACAGAGGCATTAATGTTGTAAGACTAATTGGTGATATTAGGTACCTTACTAAAGGAACCTTTGCCATCATTTATACCTTAGGACAGCTTCTGTACAATAGCTGTTTAACCATTTCAGTTCTTGCCAGTTAAGATGGTTCATCTGTTCTACTAAAGATAGTAGAAGTATTATTTTTAACTTGGTTTCATGTAGTTGTTAGTTTTACTTACTATGCTCTATATTTAAATCCATGTTGTAATTCACAATAGCTGTTTAACCATTTCAGTTCTTGCCAGTTAAGATGGTTCATCTGTTCTACTAAAGATAGTAGAAGTATTATTTTTAACTTGGTTTCATGTAGTTGTTAGTTTTACTTACTATGCTCTATATTTAAATCCATGTTGTAATTCACATGTACTGTTCAAATAGTGGCAAATAGTACTTGAATATTACTGCATGCAAAATGGACAATTAAATTTTTACTTCTAGCTAGAAGTAAATATTACTTTGCAAGAGTCACCAATATTCTCATGCCTAAAGGATCTAACTTGTTTCAGTGACACTGCCATAATCGTGCTGAGATGCTTGATTTTTAAACTCTTCATTCAGTAGAATCATACAATTATGTGTGAATAGTTCCTTGAAATTGATATTAAAAATGTTCTGAACCTATAGATATAGCAGAGCACTTTATTAGAAAATGAAGAATATCCATGCAGTCACAACATGTCTACTTAGAAGTAAGACTTGTTGAATTCAGTGTGACTCATAGGTCTAAAGTGTGTGTGTGTGTGTGTGTGTAAATAAATAAACAAACTTGGGCTACAGTAAATTCAAAATGATTGGGTTTTCAAAGCATATTTCTTCTATGTGCAGCATTGTCTTGTTATTCCAATCCATACAGTTAGCTAAGATTAGATTGGTTTTTTGACTATTTTCTGAATATAAAAATTTGAAGAACAGTGAGATCAAGGTGATATTTTATGAGTACTGCTAATTCAGTAATTTCTGTAGTAGTTTGGGTACTGCCAAAGAAATTTCATTGCAAATAGAATTATGTAAATTGTATTGCAGTGGCTTGCTCTGAAGTTTTCTGCTATGTGTTTAAGTAGTTATACTTAAGGTTTTCACAACTAATCAAATAGGTTATGAACAACCAGGATTATTTCTCTTCAAGCAGCCTTATTCTTTATATAAATCAATATTGAATTCCTTAGCAGACCAAGACCTTTTGCACTCTTTATTAAATGTGTTTGTGATGTTTCCCGTATCTTTCAAAAACTACTGTTGGCATTAGTTCAGCTGTATAATAATTCTTTAATAGTCCATTCAGAAAATACATGTAAGTATTGTGCAAATTTTGATTTCTTAATGTTATTATCTTATAGGAACCATGCTTCCAGTTTTCTGTGTTGTGGAACATTATGAAAACTCCATTGAGTATGATTGCAAGGAAGAACATGCAGAATTTGTTTTAGTAAGGAAGGACATGTTATTCAACCAGCTGATTGAAATGGCATTATTATCACTTGGATATTCTCATAGCTCTGCTGCCCAAGCAAAAGGTAAATATGTCATGATAAATTGCAAAATAATTTGTATTTATTTTTGGGGAGAGTGGAGCACAATTTCCCTTGGTTTCAGGAATGCTATTTTAGTTGCTGTAATATGCAACAGTAAAACATCATTCAGATTTTGCTTAGATCCATTTTTATAGCTATTTATTTTATTCATGGGAAATGTTGAGGTATGACATAGTTTTCAAATCGTTTCAGTGGAAGTGGCAGCATTAACTGTATGTGTAACTGAGTACATACAGGAAAATATAAAGTATTTTTCAACAGATGAGCTGTTGAAAAAGTCAACTTTATTCTAGGATGAAGACTCTCTTTCTGTTATTTACTGAGAAATTTGCATGCCCATAGTATACAAAAGATGGAGAAGGTGTAGGACATTGTTTGTTTTATATAAATCTATTTATTAATTCTTACTGCAAGAGAAGAAGAAAAAACAATGGAGACAGTGAATTTAAGATGAAACTTTATTTACAAAATCTTTCATACTGATGTATTCGTCTGCCTAATTTCTTAAAATTGCTGACATAGATTTCCTGGAATCATTCTGTTTGATGCAGGACTGATCCAGGTGGGGAAATGGAACCCAGTTCCTCTATCCTATGTAACAGATGCTCCTGATGCTACAGTAGCTGACATGCTGCAGGATGTTTATCATGTGGTCACACTGAAAATCCAGTTGCACAGGTAGGTCACATAGAGCAGAAGTCTGAGTAAGAATTAGAATCTGATATATTGTGAATATTCCAAATCTGCTTAAGTCAGCAGAAAATCTGTAAATACTACCCACATTCTTTTGTTACCGCAGTTTGGGGGGGAATAAACCACCCTACAATATTGTAGAAACCTTATATTTAGATGGTTCCATTTCATAGTTTTTTTTTTTCTGGGATCTCATTAAAAGTATATAGCATTTTAGTCAATTAAATGATGCATTACAAGAAGGCATTTTACATAAAGTTTACTTAAGAGAAAAATATTTTTGCATATCATGAACAGCACCATCTGTGTGCATTTTGAAAAAGAATGACTTGTTCACTCTTATTGTTGCAGTCAAGGTTTTTAAATTTCGCTGTAACTAAAAGGGGGGGAAGCTAATATATTAATTCTTTTCATGATCAGTCGTGAAAAGGCATTACACCTTAAATTGTTTTACCAAGCGCATCAGAGCAGGAAGGTAGAAGTAACATGGAAAAATAGTCGCCACATGCAGCTGATGTATAATTCATGCATCAATACAGCAGATGTGTTGTATAAAGTAATTAACTAATCGGAACAATCAGGAGACTGAGAGCAATCTCCAGATGCATCTGCTTGATGCACAGAATGAAATCTGTCTGTCTTAAAGGAATGTTCTGCAGCAGAATGCAATCTTGTAATAATCCTTTTTCTAATCAATGTCTCAAATAGTTGCCCTAAACTAGAAGACTTGCCTCCTGAACAATGGTCTCACACAACAGTAAGAAATGCTCTGAAGGATTTATTGAAGGATATGAACCAGAGTTCATTGGCCAAGGAGTGTCCCCTTTCACAGGTACTTAGCATAACATTCAATAAATAATAAAACACATGAACTGAGATTTCTGCAGACAGTTGCCATTGGAATTTTTGACAGAAATGTGAATTCATACTTTTACGTTGTTGTAGTGTATTTTAAGCATCAATCAACTATTTAGATATTGTAGCCTATGGAACAGTTTATAAAAATACCAAGTGGAATATCCGTTCATTAGTTTTTAATGTCAAAACTGTATTGCAATTTTTTTACCAGAGGAACATGTATATTGTAGTAGTTCAACAACGGACTTCATCAAACCATTCCTGGATTTAAATTTTATGTTGTGTAAAAGATAATTTAATTTCAAAATGTTATAGAAGTAGAGAGTCACTGTGTCAACTACACAGAAACTCATTCAAACAAATCCAGCCATATAATAATAAATATACAGCTTTTGCCTAATGGATGAAACTGATTCAGTTATTGCAAAAATGTTTTGAATTCTTTCCCATCATTGGTGTATATATGAGAAATGTGCAATTTAAAATACACTAATATTAGATTTTAAGACAGAATGATGATCCTGCAGTAAATTATAATTACAATTTACTCCCTGTATTCTTTTCCATATGGACAAATATTTTCAATTAAAAAATTTTTTTTTATTTAGTCTTAGGTTCAACATTTTTCCTCCTCCCCATATTTTAACTTTTGTTGAAGGAAATGTATTCTTGGTCATTATCAGACTGTTCAATATAGTTCCCTTACCTAATTCATTCTGATTTCCATAGCCATAAACATTTGTCCAAAAGTAACTTCTACTATTATTTCTACCACCAATCCACTTGGTTTATTGTGCAGTTGACCAGTTGTCAGTATAAGCAATCTTTCCTAGATTTTATTTTTTAAGAATTACCATGGAGATAAAAAAGCTTCATATGGTTAGACCATCATAAATCACATCACAAAATTGTCAGATTAAGTTGCATGGCAGTATGAATTACCTTACTGGCTATGCAAATGTGGGAGTGTCTTTCACAAGAAGAAGAAAGACCATTTTGACTTAAAGATAGAAAGGCATGATTAGATTATAGAGGTAAACCATACTTACTGATCTGGGAATATTCCCATATGAAAAAGCATGTGTAACATTAGTTTAAAACAAACAAAAGAGTTCATATATTTTATCTCAGTAATCCTTTTTACAACCCTGTAAAATAAGACAATGTTTTTATTCTTATGTTGTAGCTTGAGACTAAGGGACACCTAATTCATTTTGGAGACAGATTTGCACTTGGAACTTCCTGATTTACAGCTTGGTCTTGATTCTGACACTATCCATTGTTCAGCTTCTAGAAAGTAGTTTAATTGCTTTGGTATTGGAAAAATTGCTTAATTCTAATGTTTAACATTACAACTTTAAATGCATATTTCTTAATAAATGTTATTGAAGTAAATGGATCTTTTATCCAAACAAATGTTGAATCTTCAGGAATCAAGATATAGGATATATTTTCTTTTTCCTTTGGAATGTTCATGTAGATAGAAAATTTGTATTTAGAAAGCAAATACATACTACTAGAGACTTTGACCTGAGTTTAGTTGTGGCTACTATGTAAGAATCAATCACTGTTATCTTTAGGAGTCAGAAAAAAAATGCTTGCAACTCTTATTGTCCAAGAATATTTATTTGGGGTCACAGAATTACATTCTTTACATTTGACAAGGTCTCATCCAGTTCTGTGTGGAAATAGAAATATCCTGGTAATTCCATGGTTTCCAAAGAAAGAGCGTGATACAAGTGTCAGAAATAAGTGTAGCTAATATGCATGGGTAGTCCCTTTAGTGCTGATTTTAAAGACTGTGCAGATTGATAGCCTGATGCTATGCATATTTGATTCGCATGCTTACTTAGAAATAAGTTCCATTTGATTCAGTAGTTTACTTGGAAATAAGTACGTATAGAACTGCAGTAATAAAAAGCAAATTAATTACCAGAAGACATATTTTGCTTATTTTGGCGAGGTATTGCAGTCTAGTTTCAGCTTGTCCAGAGATGTAGATATGATGCAATGGGAAATGCAAAGACCTATTTTCTTTATATCAGTTTCATTATATTAAATAGTACTCTGAAAATCTGCTAAGCCAGTATTCAACCTTTGATATTTTAAGCTTACTTTGCCAAAGATTATTGGTCCTACCATGATAAAAGGATCACTTTTCCCTAGAAGAACATTCATATATTTATAGGCATGCTGTTATTATAATTATTATTTGCAGAAATTTTAAACACTTAAAATTTCAATAAGTTGCCTTGTGCCCCACCTAGATTTTTTCTGCATTTTACCTTGTGCCTACATATCACCCATTAAGAACCACTGTGCTAAGCAGCCTTAATGTAAATAGAGAATTTTAATTTCACTGTACCTAGGTATTTTATTAATTTATTTTATTCAGTTTGTACACCACCTGACTCCTAACGACTCTGGAAGCGTATTGCAAGCAAGAAACTGGAAAATCATTTTTTTTTCCCCCAATAATTTAGGTGAGAAGTTTTGTAACAAGTTTTGCATGCCAAGTATCATTGGGCTAGTATCACTGGCAAAGAGTTGCGTTCCATTTTGCATGCTTACATCACTGGTTTCAGTTTAATGAAGCATAGAATTATATCAAAATTAACAATTTTTCAAACAAGGTTGTTGTTTTCTTGAATAATTTTATGCACATATACTATGGGCAGAGAAAGGATAATCCTCTGTGTGAGATGGGTCTAAAATCACCCTTTCTTAAATTATTAAGAACCCTTGCCGTTGACAACTATTTCCCATCTTAAACATATGAAAAACCAAGAAACATAGATTTGTATGGAATCTGAGATTTTGATTTACTTTAGCTTTAAAAAAGCTTTTACTAACAGTCTAAGGAATTTATCAGTAAAGAACAGCTAATGATTGATTTTGTTTACACCAAACAAAACCTTATTTATATATACTCCATGTATTGTGCTGCTCTTCTTACCTTTTTGTGTTTTGTTTAGCACTTTTCCCCCATCAGTGTAATGAAAATTGTATTCTTCTACTTTTTGTTTATAAGTCAGTTTCTTTTCTTTCACCAATAATCTCCTATGGCTTTTAAAAATGTATGAACACCCTTTTTATGGTTGTAATACATACCAAGTTGTGCAAGGATATTTCTTGCTACTGTGTCTAAAGCAACCTACAACCTATAGCACTCAAACAAATTTTCACATGCCTACACAGCATGTATTATGTACCCTGACAAGTTTGGGACCTAAAGATTGTTGGCTGTTTGCAGAATAAATAAGCTGCAAATAGCCACCTGAGGTAAAGGCTTATTTTGTGCCCTTAGAAATAGGGCTTGAAATGCAGTGGATCATACATTAACCTTTGCTTAAGCACTGAAGGATCATATCTCTATTCTTTTGAGCTTTTCTGCCTACCTTCATTCATTTTGTTATTTTAGTAGTCTTCAGCCTAATTTTAAAAGCCTTCTGCAACTGTTCAAGCTAAGAACATTCTATCATTCCAAGAACAGTCCTAAAAGGGAGAAAATAGGAGAAGGTGACATAGCAGGAGAAACAAAATCTGCCCGCTAGTATGAGTTTAGTCTTCATTTCACTGCAGATTTAAGCTTTGCCTAAGCACCAGTGTATAGCTTCCTGTAATCTATTGTGCGTTTTATTTCTGTAAAATAGGAATATTTTAATTTCTAGGACTGAACCCTGTATGTTAGGAGAAAGACATACTAAGGTAGACAATATGTAGGGTATAGTTAGGAAAAAGTACTCAAAATTAAAAGCCATTATTCCTACAAAGCAGATTTCCCCAATTTCATACCTTTAGATATGTTGAACCTCAGCTTGCACAATTACCAGCCAGCACAGCCAAAACACAGATGGGAGATTTGATTATTGGAGTTGAAATACAACACATCTGGAGGGCACCAAGTTGGAGCTATAAAAATGCTATGGAATTACAAGAAGCTCTGAGAATATGGGTAACCACTTACAAGCAAGAGTACATTGTGTGTGGAGTTTTTCATTGTTTTTTAACTGACTTATTGAAAACTATACAGAAGTGTTGTATTATTAATACTTTAAAACCAGTAAAATACATAATTTGAAATCTGTCTCAGTATTGGAGTGAGGTTTCATTCAAATGCAGATACCCAGAACACTTTCTTCAGATATGGATGAGCTGAGTATGTGTTCTAAATCAGCCCCTAAGAATATAGCAATGGGTTGAATTTAGACAAATTAAGAGTGAATTCAGACGGGATGGAGATACGATCAGTGAGGGATTGTGTCCCTAGTT